TCTTTTGCTGTACAGAAGCTCTTTAACTTGATATAGTCCCATCTATTTATCTTTGTGGATGGCTCTGATCTTAACACCTCATATAGAAAGATTAGTTCTGTGAAAAATATATTCCAAGTACCAAACTTCTGATTTGCAAATAAACTTTTAGAATACAAACCATTTACTTGTTTCTCTTATCTTTCACACACAAACCCCACACTCCTTAAATGTATAGATCTTTTTTATTTTATTTTTTCTCAGATATTTATTTATTTATACATACAAGAACTGGGGTACAGGTCACCTCCCTGGCTGGTGATTGAACTCTTGCTGCAATGGCTGCAGATAGCTTCATAGTACTGCACTTTAACCCCTTGCACCACCAGGGAGGGCCCTAGATCTTTTTTTTTTAAAAAAAGATTTATTTATTTATGCATACAAGAACTGTGGTGTAGGCTAGAAGTGTGAAGGGTGAGAGGACTCACCAGAGACAGAGTGGGGAGCAGAACAGGCAGATCTACTGAAATACACTACTGAGGGGAGCAGCAGACAAGACAGGAGAGTCTACTGTACCATGTGGGTCAGCTCCCTGAGCAGGACTTGACTATATCTTCTCAAATTAGGAAATGCAAAAAAAGTGAAGTATAGTTCAGTGAAGTATAGGTTGAATGCACGTAGAGATAAAGGAATCTTTTTATTTCTTTAAATAAACAATATACTCAATGAACACATGCTGTGTGTCTTATGCAAAGCCTGTGAGAATCCCTATGTTATATCAGTTAATGACAATTACTTTTTCCTTTTTTTAACTTCTTATCCACCTGTTGCATATGCAACTGATTTTCCTTTATGTACCATTATGTACCAATTCCTTTATGTATAGTTTAATACTGAAATGCTTTAGGTACTAAATGTAAAAATGTTGAGAAAGTATATAAATTAAACACTATCACTCTGCTTTTAAGAAAGTATACTATATGTTACTGCATAAATATCCAAATCTCATGTTCTAAGGTGAACTAGAACTCAGAATTCAGAGTTCTGCAGTCTGGGCACAGCCATGACCACTTCTTCACAGAAGAAGTTCTAGGCCCTTGTTTTCATTCCCACACTCTGGCCAAGAATTGCCAATATTAGTAGTCTCTGTTACAAATGTTTATGATCCAAACAAGTCCTACTTTTTTTTTTTTAATGAAAAGGGACTTTAATACAGTAAATATACAATACAGAACACAAAGAATATAACTTCTAAATCAAATACTTGAAGTTACCCATCCCCTCGTGGGCAAAAGTCAACCCAAAAGAGATTGGCCCAAAGCAAGACCTGAAAGCCTGCCACTAGACTAAAGCACCTTCTGGCCGCAACCTATGGAAAAGGATCAGAAATGGCCAGACAAATCTGAAAGCAAAAGAGCAACATCAAAATCAATATAAACACTGCCATAGTCACCTCCCTACGGTCTATCACCCACATCTGCCTTAACCAGTCCAGGGTCAGGAAACAAGCCCGGTTTCTTCCTCACATGCTTGCTGCTCCATGTGGCTTCCTCAGGTCTCCTCCTTCTTCTCCATCCAGCTTCAATCCACAAGTCCTACTTTTAAGGTGCTTATAGATTGCTGTATATCATTTGCTTAGGGAACCTATGGAATGAGAGGATTTTGAACCCCTGGGAATGCCATGGAAATCTGTCTTCTTTTTCTTCTCCTTTCCCCCATTAGTTTTCTGACATCATCATTGAAGTCAGAGATAAGTTTGTTTGCCATTGAATGCTTTGTTCTGATGCACAGAAGTTTGCTGAACTAGTTTCAGTTGAGAGCTTTTCTGTAAATTATAATTGGACTGTTCTTATACAGTGAAGGTTTGAGAATGTGAAGATCACGTCTCTTTTTTAAATATAGGAAGCTAAAATAGTTAACAGCATTCCCTAGAATTATATGTTAAATTAAAAGTAAAGCTGAGATCATAACTAAGAAACATAATTCCCAAACGTCAGCACCAACAATGACTATCCTAGCTTTTTCAGAAGATTTTGTGTTGATGAAACTTTAGCATGTATTATTTCAATTATTTTTTAAACAACATAGTGTATGTAACATATTTGCCACAGTGCTTAGTATATAGAAAGTACTTAAGAGCTGTACTCCTCTAAATAATTTTATAAGTTAGTAGGAACTTTTTCCTCCTTTCATTTTACAGTTGAATAAACAGATTTACACAAGTTGTATTTTGCTTGTCTTTCTGCTTCTAGGTTTCCTGTTCTTCTTACTTTGCTATATTGACTCAGGAAAAATTATTCCACTTCACATTTCTTTTTTTTTTTTTAAAGATTTATTTATTTATCCATATAGAACTGGGGTACAGGCCAGAGATGCGGAGGGTGAGAGGATTCACCAGAGACAGAGTGGGGAGCAGAACAGGCAGATCGACGAAGTACACTGCTGAGGGGAGCAGCGGGCGGGTCAGGAGAGGCCTGCCACGCCATGTGGTCTCCTCCGGGGCAGGCAGGAATCGAACTCATGCGGAAGTGCCTTCAGCTTCTCAATGCAGTGCTTTAACCCGCTGCGCCACCAGGGAGGGCCCACATTTCATTTTTTAGGGCACAGTATCATAGAGCTGGAGGGGGCCTTCAATACTACATAGTCCAATTTTTTCTTAGCATGGAAAAAGTGGAGGGCAAAAAAGACTAGGTAACCTTGCTAAGGTTTATATCTATCCTGAGCTAGATAGGTTCCAAACTAGAACTTGGAATTGATCTTCTAACTTATTCAATACACAGAGAACTAAAAATCTAGACCGTAGGTGGAATTCTAAATTCTGTTTTAACTTATCTTGAAAAGCTGAATGACATGAAATATACACCTCTGGATACTACTACCTTTACAGTGAGTACTCTTATGTTCACTGATATTTATGTTTACTGCTCTTTTTGATTCCTTAGTCCACATTATTGAAAGATTTTGAAATTTGTAATGTTTACCTTCTTTAATTGATTTAATGAAAACATTTATTGAGCACCTACCATTTGGCAGTCACTATGGTAGTACTGGAGATACAAAGACAAACTTGCCTTATAATAGAGCTCTTGCCAGCTTGCTGGCACATATCTGGATTTTCAACTAGGCAGCCTAGGGGATGAAAGAACTCCTAAATCCCTGGGAATACTCTGTGCTCTAAAGCCTAAATTAAAGTCAACGGCATTGTGACTGCATTCAGGGTATCACTTAGTGATGGTTTCCGAGGAAGCCCAGCAAAGGGAATGTTATCCTGCAGGCAGGTGTAGCTCTACAGAGATGTGAAGAAATAAAAGAAACTACACTTAAGAGGGAAACTTGTTAGGTTGAAGTTATTTTTTTTCACAATCACCTTGTGCAGTAGTGCAGATATACATTTTTATTGTAGTTGGACAAATGAGGACGTTGAAGTCCAAAGAGAATGCATGACTTGCTCCAGTCTCTGATTCCTGGTCTATAAAGAAAGTTTTTTTCTTAATACAGCAAATGAGGATGATAACATACTAAGGGGCAGTGGTTATGGGTTTGGACCTTTAGTATACCTGGCAGTCTTTGAAGTGGAGGTTCTTGACTTTATTTATTTATTATTTTTTTTTTAGCTGAAGCAGAACTGAATTGTTTCTGTTCTCATTAACGGTATTCGTGTTGGCTTAAATGAGACTTTTTGTGGGAGAAAGCAATCTACAATCTCTGTTCTCAAGCAAGACAGACAGGAACTCTGTTAAAATTCTCTTTGTGAATTGGATAGTTCCTGAAGCTGCTGCCACTGAACCAAATTCTATTCTGGTGGATCTGAGAAGTCAGGGGTCAGAGACCACATCAGTGAAGTATCTCTCATTAGGGTCACCTGGGACAGGAAGGTTGCTTGTTTTCTAACTTTAACACTTAGAAGAGTCTTACAGCCTATGCCCCCTGCCCTTCTTAGCTGGTGATAGGGGCCCTTTGTCAGTAAAGCATTCATGTGGATTCTACTCCACTGTTTCAGGTCACTCCCCCTATTAAGTCTGAGGCAACAAAAGGGTGAGTTGAACTGCTTTTCTCACTGTGCGGGAGGTTCATGCATTATGCTCAGCCAGTTAACAGGTCAAAGGAATAGGTTTCCTACTGTGTGAAATGCCTTCCTTTATTGTATGTGTATATTCTTTTAAAATCTGCTTTAACATCAGATACCCTGGAAAAATGTGTTTCTTTCCCATGCAAAATTAGAAATACTAAGTTATTAGATTCTTTGTGCCAGTACTCATTATGTATATGCGCACGCACACTTGTTTGTCTCTGTAACATGTTCCCACTGCTTCCTCAATCTTAGCGAATGAAACACTGAAGTTTGAAATTGTTGAGTCTTGAAGCAAGATAATTGAATGTGACAGGAACACAGTAACCAGAAGACCTGGGAGACCACAAAAAATTTGCATTGCAAATATAAAAAATAAATAATGAGGCTTCTTTTTCTCCCTTACAGGGAAGCTGGATTCCAAGATCCATCAAGGAGCAAAGAAGGGGTTAATGAAGCAGAATAAAGCTGTCTGGCCCAGGAAAATGAACTATCTAGCATAGTGGAGCTTTGTGTACTAGAATTGCTATCCACTGGTCATTTGGAATTGAAGCAGTAGAAATCTGAAGGCCTGGCATCAGTCTTGAATCTCTCAGAATTTAAACTCTTACCAAAATCTGTTTATTTTTCTTAAGGAATGGGCTTCTTACTTTATGTAGTGGGTCAAAGTCTTTGAATACATTATTTATAAAAACTTATTTTAAAAATTCTAAATCTGTGCATTTTTCTTATAATGGTGTCAGAAGAGAAAGGGAAAAGTTGGAAATTACTTTTCTCTCTGAGGCTTGCATTTTAATTTAGGAAAATTCTTTTAAAAAAAAAAAGATTTATTTATTCGTACAAAACTGGGGTACAGGCCAGAGATGCGGAGGGTGAGAGGATTCACCAGAGAGCGGGGAGCAGAACAGGCAGATCGAGGAAGTACACTGCTGAGGGGAGCAGCGCGTGGGTCAGGAGAGGTCTGCCTGCCATGTGGATCTCCTCAGGGGCAGGCGGGAATCGAACTCATGCGGAAGCGGCTTTAGATTCTCAGTGCAGTGCTTTAACCCGCTGCGCCACCAGGGAGGGCCCAGGAAAATTCTTAATCTAGGTTAGCGATGTTTTGAGGGGCTGCTTGCATTATAAAGTGTCTTTTCAACGGAATAGCTGGTAGAGTATTAGAACATTGGAGGAATACTGTGTTTTATACAAACCCATAATTGGACAAGATTTTTAACAAGTTTCCTGCTCCAGTTACATTTCTTGGAGTGAACAGTCTTCAAAAGTCAAGCAGATTTTTGCCTGGAAGGGATAACCTGAGGAGGTGCTACCACTTTGTTCTGTGATTTTAAGGTATCAGTACACAAAGGGGATCAGACTGGGAGGAGGTGGGGCAACCTGCTAAAGCAGCACAAAACTATTTATTTTGTTAGGATTGCATAAGTATCATTTGGATGGGGTAAATTAGAAGCAAACTGAAAAATAAAATACCTTTAGCAAATGCATCCAAATACACTCAAATTCTGAAACTAACCAATTGAGACATCCACACCCTAGGAAGCTATGGTCTTTTTAAAAATTGGAGGTTGGTTTGAAATGAGATTTTTGCTAGTCAGTCTGGCCCCACTTAGTGAAGAAAATTTTTTTCTGAGGCTGTTCAGAAAAGCTGTCAGACTCTTAGTTGCTGGCATCCTCAGGAAATTCATGGTCTTAAATGTATATGTTCTGCTTTTTATAAAGCAGCATCACCACACTGGGGAAGTTGGATTCTCTCCAGCAATTGTGTGCATGACTTTAAAAAGAGAGTGCATGAGGAAGAAGGGGGGAAAAAGCACCCTGTGTTATGAAAAAGATTAATTTCCCCTTTCTTTAATCCTTCATATTCAGCGTTTATTTGCATTGAAATGCCTCCACTCATTATGCATTGATGTTCACTCAGCTGTGAACCTGGCTTGTTGCATAGCTATAGGCAGTAGTTTTTCTGGTGGCTTGATCACTCCGGATTCTCAGGAAAAACCCACTCACATCTTGTTCTGGTATTGCAAACATGCAGTTTCTCTGTTTTCCTGTTCAAATTCCATGGTGAAGGTGGAAAGGAAAACTAAAGGCCTTCTTTTGGAGGGTGGGGATGAGGAAGACTCCTGCTGGTCTCCATCTCTGGTACATGAAACCACATTGGGTTTACTATGCAGCTGACAGTTTACCTAGTAGCAGCAACTTGGATTCTGTGCTGGGATTGTCTGGTGGTTTGTTTGTTTAAAAAAACACCAAAATAAAAATGAAACTGAAAGGCAGGAGGTGAAGAGCTTAGAGAAGAAAACAATATTTATCTGCCTTTTTATTTGAATGACAGCCTGTACCCAGAGAACTCTGGATTGACTGTTCTACCTGGATAGATGGTGTGTGCATGCCTAAAGAAAAACATCAGGAACTGCAAGCGTTCAGGTTTTGCAACCATTTTGTGTGCTGTGATAAGAAAGTTACAAGAACACACCTCAGCATCCAAAATATGCAATTGGGGCCACATGAGTAAATGGAAGTGTAATTTGGAAACTTTTCCTTTGCATGGTTAGACAGTTAAAGTCTGTCTTTAATTCAAATGGTGGTGGTACAAGGTCTCTCTTTTATTTGTGGAGACACCGGGGAGGAAGTGTGGGAGAGACTTGGGAGTTGATGACCCTCAGTTGCTCAGTGATGAATAGCATAATTTAAAGCCCAGTGGAAATTCTTAGCAGCCTGAGTACAAACTTGCCCAGGAATAGCCTTTCTGTGCTTTACAACACTTTGCACTGACCCTGTAATTCTGGGACAGAGTGGCCTGAGGGAAGTTTCACATGTCTGAGCTGGTTTTTTGCTGCCTAAATATCTGTGCCCACTTTGGTTGGTTGGTTTCAGGGGCTCTCAATTTGTATAGTATGTAAAGGATTTAGATTCAGTGTTTTTAGTTTTGGTTTTGTATTTGTAGGCAAGATCCAGTCTTAATTATATAAGCTTAGAGTAGGAGATATAATGGGAGACTCTCCGTCAGGATTTAGGAAGCTTTGACTTTGCAGTCATGTTTGGAATGGACTAAGATTTTGTTTTGTTTTGTTTTGTATGTGTGCATGTGTTGCTTGCTATAACTTATCTGGAGAAAGAGATCTAGGTGCTCCCTCTTTATACTCTTTATAGAAATCCATTCCCCCCCTAGAACCCCCCCTTTAAGTATGAAAAATTTAGACTTTAAAGATTACTTTTGCAAATAATGACTGTTATGGCTTTTATGAGTTATAACCCTTAATCTCTTTTCATTTTAACTACTGTCTTTACTAAAGCCCTTTTGTGTGGATTTCATTTAGTTTTATAATTTTTAACACCTTTGCTGGACAACTAGCCAAGATTAAGACAGTAGGTAGGTTGTTTTCTTGCCCAGCTAGAAAAGGCCAGTAAAAATGCAAGCATCTCTTAAACTAGAGAAATCAACTAACTTAAGTTTATTAGGCCTGCAGGGTGGAAAGTCTTGTGATGAGTTTTTTTTTTCCTTGAGATTCAAAGAGCAGGTACACATCTGCTGTGCTCAGCTTCTGTGAACATGTTTGGAGGGAGATGATCCATAGCATCGGCTCTAGCAGCAACAAGGGATCCAGCATGTGGAAGACTTTTTACTACTCTCATGCAGAGAAGAAAGGGCATAGTCATAGTGCCATCCTATGACACAAAGAAACTTGTGTAAATGTGTGTCCTTTTATGTGTGTGTACATAATGTGAATTAATTCATGGGGTGAAACTTGTAAACTGATCAGATTTCAGATTTCAATCGTGACAATGGAGAGCACACAGAGAACCTAGTAAATGTTGTGAGCTAACTTGGAGTTAGGTATATACAGGGCCAGGGGAGGGTGAGAGGGAACTGAGAATCCACAAAGAGGTGTGTCACAGGAAGGAAGAGAGAGAGGTTGGGACGAGAGGTTAAAAAAAATGTCCATTTAGAAGATTTGATTATCTAATATGGTAGCCACTAGACAGATGTAATTATTTAAATTTAATGAAATTAAGAATCTAGTTCTTCAGTCATACTGATCACACTTTAAGCACTCAGCCACATTGGCTAATGACTTCTGAATTGGACAGTGCAAATGTAGAGCATTTCCATCATTTTAAAAAGTTCTACTGGATAGTACCTATTTGGAGCACCAGTCAGAACACTATTATTTCTGTAAAGGGCTAGGTAATTTAGGCTTTCCAGGTGAGTGTGTTACACTCGCAGTTCTGCTATTGTAGTACAAACTAATCCATAGATAACACATAAATGAATAGGCATGGCTATGAGCCAATACAACTTTATTTATAGCCACTGAAACTTGAATTTCATGGCATAAAATATTGTTCTTTTAATTATTTTTCAGCCACTTAAAAATGTCAAAACCACTTTTGGCTCATAGGATATAGCAGAACAGGTGGTGAATCTGATTTGTCCTGGAAACCAGTTTGCCAGCACCTGGTCTAAAGGAACAGGAAGTCAAAACTTAAGATTCTTTTCTGTACAGAACGTTGATTCCTTAAAAATAAGGTTCTTCCAGGTTTTACTTTCTCAGGCCAAAAATTAGGGTTCACTCTAGGAATTTTTCTTTTGTCTCCTATTTTTGCTGCCAAGTCCTTTCCAGTAGTAGTTATACTCTTCACTGGGAGATGACTACTTGAGTATTAACTCAATTCACACCTAAACCTAAATCATTAAACCCTACTCTATCTCTACCAGCTAAGAATTGAATTCTCACCTAGTCACATCACCTATTACAAACTGAGAGTTTGCTATCACCTGAGATCAGTTCTGTCCTTTATTAGCCTAGACCAGTTTAAATACTGGTGGACTAAAGGGAGATTATGACCTGGTTCTATCTCCAAGTCACATACTATCCTGAGTGTCACTATATAAAAAAAAAATTATTTATGCATACAAGAACTGGGGTGTAGTGAGGAGGAGAGGACTCACCAGAGACAAAGTGGGGAGCAGGACAGGTGGATCTACTGAAATAACACTGCTGAGGGGATCTATGGGCTGGAGACTGGGGAGGCCTGCTCTGAGGTGAGGGTTAGCTCCCAGGCCTCTGATTGAAGTGGCAGCTCCTTAGTGTTGCTGCGTCTTTAACCCCGGTGCCAGCAGGGTGGCTCCTTGAATGGCACTATTGAATGATTCCTCATTATAAAAAGAAGAAAGGAATGATTTTTAAAAAATGCAGAATTTATTGAAATGGTTAAGGACTCAGGAACGGGATACTAGGAGCTACGAAGTGGGAAGCTTTGAGAATGAAGATAAATTTGTTTGTCTCCGGGAGGAGGTCATGAAGAGTAAGATTAAGTTTTACAGATGAGAGGTGGGGTGGGAGGGTTCACTTAAGTGCACATGACTGAGAATGCCTACTGTGTACTAGATAGTGTGCTGGGCAATCAGTTGAATAGTAAATAAGGAAAGAAAAGTTACAACCCTTGGGGGTTGAAGTACAAAATAGCACTTAAAGATAAAGCAAGAAGATTTGGTGATAGAGGATAGTGAGGTGAAAAGGAATATAGAATGATTAGAATGGTTACTTTGGAGAGAAAAACAAGTATTCTTAAAAAAAACAACAACAACAACAAAAAAAACTGGAGAACAAAGGATAAAAAATTAGAGCCGACACTGTTAAACCAAAAGGGTAAAATGGATGAAACCAACATGAGCCTTGCTTGCTCTTCTGTTCTTTGTAGATAGATGTTCA